GAGTCCGTGCTGCCCAGCGTTGCAGCTGACAGATTTGCTTGCAAGATAAATCTATTGACATCGCTTACACGCGTGTACAGGACAACACTGTGGCAGAGTCACAGAATGTGAAGGAATGTGTGAGGCTGTCCACTGCGCGCCTCTTCGCCACCTGCTTTTCGGCTTGGCTAGGAACAGGCCACAGAGGTCAATGAGTCGGGATAGCACATGAGCCCGGACCCAGTGGAACTCAGAAGTCATCCTTCAGCCAACGAGTTTTCTTTGCTTTGCTTCATGAGCCACCTTTTTTTCTGGAAGCTAGAAGGAACACCACAGCTTGTTTCAATTTCCTTAGTTCCTCGTTTTCCAACCACACGGCACTGTCTTTGATGTTTTCATCCCACCACTTCAACCTGCCCCCACCCACCCCCCGCCAACCCGCCAACCCGAGCCAAAGCGGCGGAATGACGCGGCTGGAACCGGGGAGCCCCAAGAAGGTCACGAGGTTTGAGGAGCAGCTTGGCTTGGCGCCTGGCGCCTCCCGATCGCTTGGGAGGATCTCAAGGCTAAGTGAGGGGCAGGAACGAAGTGGGCCGGAACCTTAAAGGACACAGGTGGGTATGGGTCAAAATTAATCCACCAGGAAATGGACCACAGGTTTTAGTCATTGTTTCGATTTACCAGGGCCACAGCCACGCGGTTTTTTTTGGAGCTTCCCACCTGTCGCACCATTTCACTTAGAGCTGGAGGTTTTGGATGGGTGGTACCTCCTTTTGACACTTGGGGATACAGCGGCACCGTGACACATGCACCACTCGCAGCGTGGCCACGGCAATGACACGCTTGCCACGGACTATTGACTATTGGTTCTAATATGGATGCCTTGGGTGCGAAGGAATTGTTCTTGCACGCCATTGTCACTTCCTGTTTGGGGGGCATGGCAGTTTTCATGACTCACTGTGCTGCGCACCTCTTTCTGGTTTCCATTTCAACTCCTGGAGGATCAGGGTTCTTGTGTTGCAACCTTCCTATTCCGGGGTCTCTTGCTTCATGTTTAGTACCAGCGGTGAATCGCTGATTTTCCAAGGAGCAGGTGTTTGTATCAAAGCGTTCTAGCAAACTTTAAGGAGGATGCCTGGCCTGTTCACCTTCCCTTCCATGATTTTTTTTGGGCCCGCGCTGCGGGTCGAATCTAGGAAGTGAAGCAAGTGGGCCCGAATCAATGGATCCTTATACTTATGCCTTGTATTCTTGCATATCTACCCCCTACGCAGTATACCCAGGTATGTGCTCCCTTGTTGGGTTCAGTGCCGTTGACAACGAGTTGGCCATTGCAAGGGATGCAAGCTTTCCATGGAGAAAGCTATTAAGCTCACCAATCTTTCTTGCGCACATAAGATTGATGGACTTGCAGTGAGCGTTGTCGGACACAAGTGCGACTCCATTGTGTATGCCGCGAGTGTTGAATGTTTGTTCCAAATCTTGACTGGCTGGATTTTAGGGAAGAGCACATGAGCAAGAATCGATTTCCGGTATCAACAAACTAACAATACCCAAAGGGCAACCCTCTTTGGCAGTGTCCCAAAATTGGCAGGCGGCCAATAGGCACACTGTTTGCCCATCCACTGCCTTCAGGAACTGGTCGCAGCGGCCATCCTTTCTGCTGAATGGGCAAGGCCATCGAAGTTGGCCCGGGCCAACCGTGACGTACTGGTACCGCTATGGAACTGCCGTATTGGTGTCAAGGGTAGCGATTCTGTTTGATTGTGATTCTTGCCAAAGGCCATGAGCCTGGTATGTTGCAATGAGACCGCCTCATTCGGTGCTCTTAGACGTGCTTGCAGCTAGCGAACTCACTGAATTGCATGTCGACTGAGTCTACTTGGCATCCGAGATGTCAGCACAACGCATACCAGCACATGTCCACAACATGCAATACATGCCAGGCAGCTGCCAGGCCGAAGAAGGATCAATGAGCTGCACGCACAAGCCATACGCACAAGCCATGGGCCATCACTGGCCAGAGGTGCCAGAAAACACAAAAAAGTAACAGCGCGAAACATACCAAGACATGTCACCAGATACGGAAACATACCAACACATACTGAAACAAACTGACACATACCTGCAAAAAACAAAAAGCTGAATGTGTAGTTAAAGCCTCCTTGCATTTGCCCCAAAGGGAAGGAACCGCTCGCGCTTTTGCCAAGCTTATTCGTGCCAACATCTCAATAAGGCCACTTGCGTTGAACTAAATGTGGGTTGGGTTGGTCAAGGCAATCCGCAAGATCCTTAACTTGGGTAATGCACCGGCTCCACTGGAGATGGATCAGGATTGGCCACGTCATTTTGAACAGCCCAGTTTTTGCATAGCACCGTTTCCCCTTTGCATGTTGCAGGCACCAAGTATTAATGCGAATATCCAACGTGCCTTGCTCTTCGTGTCACTTGTTTGCATTTTCCAGTACTAACACGTATTGCAAAATGCGTGTTTCTTCAGCTGAAGAGCTATTCTTGGAACATGAGATGATACAGCTGGCGCAGAACATGATGACCCAAGGCAAGAACTAAACAATCAGAATCCTTCGATAGTGCTGGCATGGTGATAGATCGTAGACAGGTTGCACTTTCCGCTGCTTGACTTAGATTCGAAGTAGCTATACAGCAGTCGCATCATCACAGAGCTTTTGCAGTGACATACACTACTTGCATGTGGTACAAACAGGAAACTTGCAAAAGGGTTGGCCATGTTTATACTCGCGAAAGGTTGGCGAAAGTTGTTGCATACATTGTGGGTAGGCTTGCGTTTTGTTGGTAATTTCCGGTCTTCGCGAAAGCAAATACAGACGAAAAGGCATTGCCCAATCCATGAAAGCAACGTGCAACTGGTTGGTATGGGTTGAAGCCACTTGCAAGAGCTGCCTTTGTCGCGAAAGTAAGTTGACGCGGGTTTAGTCCGGCACAATGATGTATAATGATGTATAACAGGGCTCACTCAATTATATTGCATTATAGTAGGATGTATAAAGAGCATTACAAATCACACCCAGCTACAAGGAAGTGAGACTACTTGTATTGTAGATAGATAGACCGCAGGTCAGGTTTGGTCCAAAATGACACTCAGTGGAGATGTGCAGATTTGAATCGGCTTGTGCGGCCATCCGGCTGACAGCAAAAGAAGGGCCGCTATAGCCTATGTCTTCATGGTAGCAGAGCCACTGGTTGCGGCCAAGGACAAGGAGAGAGTTAGAAAGATCGGCGCGGAACCGCACCGAGGTGGAACCCCAAGGCCGAAGCACGAGGCGAAGGAGCGTGCGGTGGAGAGCTGGGCAGCGCCAGGGGGCTGATGGAGGAAGGCCATTTGGGCCCTGTTGGTGGTGGTGCTCTACGTCTTCCAGACGCACTACGCGGCTAATCAGCACTTGGCAGGGTGG